AGTTACTAAATGCAGCAAATAACGGACAGTATATCGACTGACTGGAGTTACATCCATCAACACGTGTCATGCAAGTGATTCTTTACAAATACATACAATACAAGACATTCCATATCTTTTATACACGACTAGCAGCATGGCCCGGCGTTGCCCGTGCTTGATTCAAAAATCGTATGACTCATACAGCAATCACTATCACTTCCTTGCCTTTAAAGGAGTGCCCTTTGCCATGCTGATGTTGCTACATGCCTTACTTCTTGCCTATCTCACATTGCCAATTTTTTCTAAGCTCTATACTAAACATTAAATCTGTTACGAAAAAAGAACTAAACAAAACGATCAGCTTTAAAAAAGGACTCGTAACTGGAAGAACCGAATGAAAAAAGAATGTTAACAACAAATACTTTTTCACACCCAACCCAATTCTGTGGAATCAGAATCAACGTTGAGTTTAAATAAGCGAATGAGCCAATTGGAGTAAAGTGTCAGGCAGATTTAAATTTTTCCCACCTGTGATGGATGCAGCTATCATTTTTTTTTTGTATGCTAGCATGCTAGTTAACATTCATGTCAGTCAGCTGTTGGCTCTCACACGCTGGCCAATAGAATCTTCCTGCCTATTCGTGGCAGCCAGCTATAGGCTCTCACTCTGGCCAGTAGAAAATGGCCGCAAACTACATGAAAACTGCCGTAGAAGCATGAGAAAATCGATTATTTCCACTATCGATGGGAGTTGGGAAATGCAAAATCGGTCTTGGCCTTTCCGCTAACTTGGAGCATGTGCATGTAAATCTTGGTGCAAATCCGTCGAAAATTGCGGCTGTGCATTCGTTACACACACACACACACACACACACACACACACACACACACACACACACACACACACACACACACACATCTTGCCTTTTATAGATAGAGTTAATGTTACTAGTTTCTCTCGTTGTTCTGAAAACCCTCTCTCTCCTGGCATACACATATTCCCCAAGTTAATATCTACACCTTCTCTTAATTCTTCTGTCTAAACATCGAATGTTTGAAAATTCTGAAAAAAAAAACGCAAACATTAGTGTCAGGGCAAGTTGCACACTGGCCCCGACACTAATGTTTGTGTCGAAGGTTTCTACTTTATCTCAGAGGGAATAAGAGGAGTCCTTCTCCTTCTAGATATGTCCTAATATAACAGGATCATTTACTTTTTCATTGTTATATTCCAAGAATCTAACTTTCAGGAGACCGTTCGATTCTATTTATGGATCTAACATTAGATATTGTATATGCAGCTTGTTTTGGTCAGTTCTATCTAGAGGAACTAATTGTCGGAGGAGCTTGCTAAGAAAGCAACATAAAGATTAGATGCGGTAGCTGGAAAACAGCTCTTGCAAAAACAATTGTTCTTCACAAAATTACTAAAGGTAATCTTCTGTGTAGATCGTGCAATTAAAGAAGACTGTAGAATGGATCGGCTGAAACCGGAAAATAATAATATTTCTTCTCGATATTAAAAATAGTCTGTCTTTTTCGTAGTTGTTACAATAGCATAAACAAACTTTTTCTTTTAAATGATTCTTTCGTTCGGAACCTTAACATACATCATTGTTGTGGTAAGATCCACCTAATTTGCATAGTGGAGTACTGACCATATAAATATGGTTGGTACCGGGAAGAGAGGGGAAGGAATCAAGAGATTCAACCAGAGACTCTGCCCGACTGCGACTCAGTCAACACATTCTCCAGGAACGGTCTTACCAGGAATATACAAAAGACTATATGTAAATATTGTGCACACTTTCTTGTTTCAATACATTTTGTTCTAAGTACCTTTTGTGTTGCATTATTATTCCATGCATTAGTCAAGTTTCAACAATCATAAAGATCCAATGATAAACTCAGTGGGTTTGTACAAAGGGCACTGCGACTAGAAATAGTCATTTCCTCAATTTTTTCATGTTATTAGGTTGTTCGGAAAATAATGTTTGATTTTAGAATAAACCTTTTAATTACGTTCTAATATATTACTATTATAGTTAAACAAAAATATATTACTCATTACTAATGATTAAAGTTTCCTTTTTGTTAATGTTATCAATCCCTTTTAGAATTTAACTTAAAACAGTGTATACACCTCATCTTGAACATGAAAAAAGAAGAGATGCGTTTATTGTTCTTTTTCTTTTTGTATGAGTTCAACATTTGTCCTAATGCTTCTCAAACTGCTTCCAACATTAACAGAGCATGGTGAGGGTTAAGGATCCACTTGTAATCGGTCAGTACGTCACTGGTTTTTGAGGTTCCGCAGTAGGGATACGAGTCTTGAAGATCAATGTGGTCGAACACGTCCAATTAATCTGCAATTAACAATCAGCATCTGACAAGCCTAGTTGAACAAAATCCATGTTAAAATGTCAGAGAATTGTCTGAGGTAATTAATGTCGGCATTTCAACAACATCGGAACATCTCAAAAATATTGACAAAGTGAAAAAAAATTTGACAAATGGGTTTCACATGAAATGAAAGTCAAAGAGTTCAATGTTTCAAAGTGTGTTCGATGCTGCATCTGCGAAATTCGAATGAACCATTTCTTGATCGAATCGTATCTTGTAATGAGAAATTAATCTTTTACGACAATCGTAAGCGACTATCATGACGAAGGACCCAAACATTTTCCAAATCGAAACAGCACCGAGAGAAGTTTATATAGTGGCTGTCTGTTGGTCCGCCGTTGGTGTTATTCATTGCAAGTTTCTAGGACCAAACCAGAACATCACCGTCGAAGTTTACTGCCAGCAAGTAGATGAAATGCATATTCAGTTAAGCAAAATGCAACCAGCACTGCTTTGACGACGAGTTCCAAGTTTGCTTCGTGACAATGCTTGGCCACATGTTGCCCAGTATGATACTGATGAAGGTCATCGACTTGGGGCATGAGACATTGCCACACCCAACATATTCACCTGATCGCTTATCTACTACCACTTTTTCTGACATCTTGATCATTTTTTAAGCCAAAAGACATTCCGTTGTAAAGAAGATGCAAAAACTACACCCAAAGGTTTCTTGGCGTCCTAACTTTTAGAGTTTTATCGTAAAGGCAGAAATAACCTTAACAAAAAAAGATTTGTGTTCCTATTTTGACTGATTTAAACACAGTTTAAATGCCTTAATTTAGGACTAAACGTTGATTCTAAAATCGGACGTTATTATAATGCTATAGATTAGGATTTCCCAACCTTTCTTTTTTCCCATGTAGCACTTTTAATCTTTATTTTTTTGATGGACCCGCATAACCATTCGATGTAAAAGAAAGCTTATTTTATTTCTTTAGTTACAGATAAGTTTAGGAAATGTATGATAGAAATAGTAAATGCATATGTTTTATTTTGAAGTAAAACTAATTTAATGAAAATAAACTTGTATTTAACAAGTAAATTTTATGAAACATTTACATACCCCAGTAAAATAACTCGTAATAAACCATTTCATAATTGATCCCTGTGGATACCAGTAATGTTACATGGACATCCCAGGGTCCATATGAACCCCGGTTGAGAACCCCTGCTATAGATTAAGCTATAGATCACGAGTCTCAAAAGAAAAAAATATATAAACATTAATAGAGTGGTCATGTTTACTATGTAAATCCATCGTAAATTGACCAGACTACGGAAGCCAAAATAAAATATACTCATATGAGGTGATTTCTCAACATTTAGAAAAATGAAAAAAAAGAAAGAAAGAAAGAAAGAAAGAAAGAAATTCATATTCTACAATTCTTAAACGATAGTAGTATATATAAAAAAAAGAACTCTGGATTACGAATTAATATATGTAAGCATTCTTCCACAGAGAAACTGTTTCGCTGCATCACACCACTTCAGTGTGGCTAGACGCCCGACTACTCTCAAGCCGTGATCGAACCCCGACCGATTTGACATCAATCTCTGTCCTTACCCCTAGGCTATAACGTTTTTCTGTACGAAATGCATCAGTGGCCCGAAGAACTCAATTCGTACTTGAAGAGTAATGCATTAATAGCATTAGAAGCCGCTGTTTTTAAAATTATTATATTATGATATTATAATATATATATATATATATATAATTATTATATCATAATATTATATATATATATATATATATATATATATATGTGTGTGTGTGTGTGTGTGTGTGTGTGTGTGTGTGTGTGTGTGTGTGAAAATATATAGAAAATAGGAAGGATCTGGTTAGGTAAATAATCCAAAGTCCCTTTAGTATTTTAGTTATTATTTTTAAAAATAGTGCTCGATACAAAAGTAGAGCATAAATATAATTATTTATTTAAAATATGATTCCAAATCGCGACATAAGAAGTCATGAGACTTCTTATGTCGCGATTTGGAATCATATTTTAAATAATATATATATATATATATATATATATATATATATATATATATATATATATATATATATATATATACTTTTAAGAATTTATAAAAACGAGTTCAAATTCCAGTCGGGCTCGTTATATTCACTTACACGCAAAATACCTTTAGGAAAGATATGAATACATCTCTTCTCCCCCAGCTATGGGTTAATTAGTTGGAATTGTACCAGTAAAAATATTATCTCCAAAAAATTCTTACATTCTAAAAGAATATTTTCTGGTTTTAAGTTTCCTGTAATTGGTAGATATTAAGTGAAATGAAATCAATCAAACTTGTGAAGTCAGTTGGAGTGTTTCGCCTTTTTATTAGTGTGGTAAGTTGTTATTTGTCGTATATTTTCTCCCCGCCCACTTTCTTTCTTTAATTTGATTTTGTATTTGTTACTTTATATTTTGTAATATAGTAATATAAAAAAAATATAGGGTTATATATTGCAGTGCTTATTATGTAACTCAACAATAAACTCTTATTGAATTAATAGTAACAGTTTTTCCTTAAATGTTGACAATCTAAATTGGAAAGTAGTCAAACATCAAATTTTATGCTACTTTTTTTGTTTCTCTTTTTTTATGCAGGTCTACGGTGTGGTCGCCATTTTGTTTGTGATTCTGTCCATTTTGACTTTTATCTTGGAGACCCATCCGTCATTTCGGGTGTCGGGAGAGCGGGATTTGCTCGGTCGTCTCTACCGTCGAGGATCGAACACGACCGATAGCGCCGATCTTTCGATTCCTCACCCGGCCCTCGTTATCATCGACATCATCTGTTTGATTTTCTTCACCCTCGAGATAATGGTCCGATTCGTCTGTTCGCCCAGCCAGCGAAAATTCTTCGCCAATTTCTTCAACTTGGTCGACCTCATTTCCCTGCTACCGGATTACATCGAGATGATCGTCTTCAACCAGACAGATAACGACACCGCAAGCAGCATCGTCCATTACGCTAACTTCTTGCGCATCATACGGGTATTTCGCGTTTTCAGGTTAGTCCGTCACGTGTCCGGATTATGGATCATGATATACACCATCAAGGCCAGTATGGGTGACTTATTACTGATGTGTGTATTCATGATATTGGGAATGTTACTGTTTGCCTCCCTTATTTACTACGTTGAAGAGAGCAAATTTCCAAATATACCAATTAGTTTATGGTGGGCGCTTATCACTATGACGACTGTCGGTTACGGCGACATGTATCCGGAACGCAATATGGGGTATTTGATAGGGTCTCTATGCGCAATGACGGGGCTTCTAGTAGTCGGATTCACGGTCCCTATTATAGTCAACCATTTTGTGCTTTATTATACGTATATCCAATCGGCGCTGCGCGCCGAGAAGCGGGAAAAGAAAAGTGCCAAAGAGAAGGAAAATCTTGACAACCTGATCGAAGAGGAACGGCGAGAAAGCATTCTGCTGGATATTAAAGAAAAACAAGACGTTGCCGAGCAATTATCCAACGGTGAAGGCAAGGACAATACGCATATCTGCAACGGCGACATTGGTTCGTCCACCGAACGGAAGCGAAAAGAAAGAGTCTTCTATACAACGTGTCAACAGGAAAATATTAAAATGGATTTGCTTCTCCCGCCACGGTACAGTTCGGTGTCGAATCTAAACGGAGAATTTTCAAAATGTTTGGAAAAACGCAAAAAGACTCCGACGAAAGTCTGCACAAAGGTAAGGCGAAGTTCTCTTCCCTCTATAGCGTCAATTCCATTTCGACAGACATACACTAGCGCAAAGAGCCCCTTAACGAAAGGGAAGACAGTCTTAGACGATGGCTTATGTAGACAATGTGCTGGCAAATCGCAGACGTCTTCCAGATCTGAAAACAATATTATGATTGAATTGGGCGGTGTCGATATGGGAGACTCTCAGTCAACAAATCTGTAACGCTTTGTAACGTTATAAAATAAAATATATATATATAATATATATATATATATATATATATATATATATATATATATATATATATATATATAACAGTCTTTACACTCAACACACACACATTCACACCCACACACTTAAAAAAAATCAATAAACAGCCAAACACAGAAAGAACCCTGGAAAAATTAACTCTATTTTAAAAATATTAATACAAAAACTTATTTTTCAGGAAATTGATTTGATATACATGTATATTTATTGACTTCAATGACGCCCACCACATGCGCATCCCCCCACCAAAAGAAAAGCACGGTGTCATTTCTAAAGTACACCTTATATACAGTTACGTGCAAATACCCTTGGGAAAGGTATGAATCCATTTCCTCTCCCGCTATGGGTTAAATAGTATTTGTATCTAGAAAAATCATTGTTATTCTAAAAAATATTGCTAATGCAATATTCACCTGCAAAAAAAACAAAATATGAAAGGAATTATTCTTATAATTCAATCCAAAATATTTTTGGTTTTAAATAATCCACAAAAGGTTGATAAGCCGTTAAAAACAAATCAATCAATGTACGCCAGACATACAAACTTATATTTTATACAACCACATCTAGACTGACTTATCATGGAGTATTGGTTAACGAGCTACTTTCTCAGGCCATTTTGTTTATGTAGCAAATTCGATCATCACTAAATGTTCCATTATTGTGGTTTTATGCATATCTAACTTAAATATCTGTTTTATAACCCACCTTTGTCGATAAAATAGTTATTTCCCACTGCGATCAGTGTTGGAGCCCAAGTAAAATCTCATTGTTTTGTTTGCTGATTCTCTAGGGTGACAGGCCCTCCCTATTCCAACGACAGCCTAACATTTTTTCTTTTCACATAGCCTCTCCAACTCGCGTAAAGTTGTTCTAAGCCCAGCTGGTAAATATCGCCTCTGTGACGAAATATATATGATATATGTGAATTCTTTCCAACGTTTCGGAAAATTCTGGATCATCCGATTTACCGGATCAACCGATGTCATCACATTTATAATACACCAATTATGAACATCTATTATAAAAAAAACATTGGGACTTTTATAAACTTAACATTTTAAATTCAAAAACTTAAACGTTTTAAGTTTAAACATTTGAACATTAAACATTTTAAGTTTAAACATTTAAATACGTAAAGGGTTAAATGTTTTACGGTTTAAACACTTAAATATTTGAACATTGAACAATTTAAATTTAAATGTTTTAACATTTGAACATTAAATATTTTAAATTTAAACACTTACACATTTGAACATTAAACATTTTAAATTTAAAGACTTAAACGTTTCATAAGTAAACATTTTAAAGTATAAACGCTTAAGCATTAAATATTTTAAGCTTAAACGCCTAAACATTAAACATTTTAAGTTTAAACGCCTAAACATTAAACATTTTAAGTTTAAACACTGAAATATGGCTCAAATTCTTTGCTAAATATTTTGCCAGACTTATTAGAACAGACCACATACACTTCACGAAAAATAATCGATATTTAGTCATCAAAGAGTGAAGAATTCCTTTGACTTGCCATTGGATGACGGGTGTACAGTTTGGTGGTAAGTATGCTGGAGACAAATTATTCTTAAAGAGCAGTTGAACTCTAATATTATTTGAACAGTTGTCAGGGGGTTTGCAGTTCTTTCATAAGCCGAAATAAATGTGAGGGTATTCATATTTTTTGTCCGGGTTAAGCAAATAGGTAATTATGGTATTAGTCTAGCTGTATAACATTGGTTTAAGTGGTTTAACAGGACAAAACAGCCACACGCACGCAAATATGTGGCAACTACTTAAAGTTTCATGTATACAATAGTACACATTTTTCAGGTAGCAGATCATGAAAATTTGAGTGATCACCAGCCGATAGGAAGACCTTTCTTGTAAATACGAGCATTTGCTCTGCTATAAGGCGTTGAGCACTTTTTATCTCACCAATGTCAAATTTCTACTCCTTGACAATTTTTTCTTAAATATATATATATATATATATATATATATATATATATATATATATATATATATGTCAGTTCACACGCCTTCATTGTCTTTTGAACAGGAGTAGAGGTTTATCCTTGTTTCCTGTTTAGGATTGGCTTTCTGGTTCCTTCCAAAGTCTGCTTCAGCTCTATACTTCTAACTTCTGCACATGAACTTTGAAATTGTATTCGATATTTATTTCATTTTATTTGTTTTCTCTCCTACACCAATAGGAGCAGATAGGTTCGCTTACCGCCCGGTTCATACTCTCCTCCGGTCTTTTGAACTGGCGTAGAGGTTTATCCCTTATTTCCTGTATAGGATTGGGTTTCCAGTTCATTCTAAAGTCCACTTCTGGTCTATACTCGTAACTCTTGTTCTTTTCTACGCAAATATAACTCCACACAGTGACCCTCTAACTTGAGTGACTCTTGGGATATGTATTGGTTGAACATTATGTTGGGTAATTGAATGATAAAGAGGAAAAAATTCTATGTAACTTATCCCGTCATTTAAAAGGACCTTATCGGTTTGAAGTAATTTTCTTATTGATTGAAAAATGAAATTATGACAAAATGGTGAAATGACAGTGTGTAAAGCTTTTCATTTATAGAAGAATCTTCCACAGATTGATAACTGTTTTATTGATGACATAACTAAGATAAGTCTTCCTTTTGTCTTTATTCATATTTTCATTTAACAGATATACTTTATATGAAATTTTTACATACATACATACATACGCGCGCGCACACACACACACACATATATATATATATATAGGCAGTATATCTTCATTCAAGTATGTTGTTGAAAATTTTCTTTTAATCCTCTCAAATTCTCGGATCAATTTTTTAATGTTGTTATTAAACTCATTAAGGAAGACGCTATAGTTTTTTTTTATTATTTTTATTTTTTTAATTTTTACTTTCAGTCTCATCCAAGATCATCTTCATAAAGTTAATATAATTGATAGTTGTGAATTTTTTTGTAAATGCGCATGAAACCTGCTCTGTTACAATTATGAACCCGTATGAACGCGTCCCGTTATAGTCAATTTAAAAACTAACTATTGAGAATATTATGTACTACGGGAGGTAAATTAATTAATTTATTTTTTTTATTAATGTTTTAAAATACCCAACCTTCATTTTTTTTTTATTTTTACAATTTGAGTATTCCAAAACATTGCTTTTATAGATATTTTAAAACATTGTTGCTATATTCATAATTAATCTTATTTAGTGTTGGTTGTATTTTCTTATATAGACGGCTTCAAGAACTTGAAGTTTTTGTTTTTATTTTCATGATGGAGTATACTTGTATTGTCAATTAATATATCTCTAAAACGTGAATGGGTACAAGAAAGTTTCTTTAAATAATGTGCAGTAGAACTTGAATCCAACATATGTAATGCAAGTTTACCTGATAAGTCTTCCTTAATGAATTTAATAACAACATTAAGAAATTATTTCAAACTTTATTTTTCTAGATACTGAGTATTTAAAATAGGCGCCCCATTCTTAATTATTAAACAATGTGTATTACGTCAATCGGCCTGCGGATTCTGGGCCGCCTATTTCATTTTTATTTCAAATGCTGACTGTCTACAAAAATAAAGTTTGAAGCAATAAAAATGTTGGTTTAAAAATAAATCAATTAATTCTTTATACATATGTGTGTGCGCGCGCAAGAGTATGTAAAAATTCAGATATAAGTACAAATATATTTGGTAAAAAGACAATGTAGCAGCTAAAATGGTATTTGTACTTCTGTACAAATTCTTCCATTTGACTTGATAAAGTCCATCAGAGGACGAAACACGTCGGCCAAGATAAGTTTTCCTTTTGTCTTTATTGATATTGTCCTTTCAAAGATATATTCTATCTGAAATTTTACACAGTAACTCTTGTATATATTAACATATCATTCTGGCGACATTATCGGAAGGCTAAAAGGCATAGATATGAAAGATAAACACATGGCTAGTTTACTGGGTGTGACATATACATTTATCCCTTATTCCTTTTATCAGTCAGTTATGTGCCATGCGGGATACACGCTTAGACGGTCATGCATCTTTCGATACATGACTGACGAGGCAGATATTTTCCCGCAGAATGTTTTAGATTTTGGTTAATGAAAGTTTACAGGTTAATTGTTATATATCTCTATCTATAAAAGGCATGATGTGTGTGTGTGTGTGTGTGTGTATGTAACGAATGCACGGCCGCAATTTTCGACGGATTTGCACCAAAATTTACATGCACAGAAAAGGCGGAAAGGCCAAGACCGACTTTGCATTTCCCAACTCCCATCGATAGTGGAAATAATCATTTTTTTCATCTTCTACGGCAGTTTACATGTAGTTTGCGGCCATTTTCTACTGGCCTGAGTGAGAGCCTATAGCTGGCTGCCACAAATAGGCAGGAAGATTCTATTGGCCAGTGTGAGAGCCAAGAGTTGATTGATACGAATGTTAACAAGCATGCTAACATGCAAAAAAAATCGATAGCTGCATTCGTTACAAGTGGGAAAAAATTAGATCTCCATGGCACTTTACTCCAATTGGCTCATTCCCTTGCTTAAACTCAACGTTGATTCTGATTCCGCAGAACTGGGTTGGGTGTGAAAAAGTATTTGTTGTTAACATTCTTTTTTCATTCGCTTTTTCCAGTTACGAGTCCTTTTTTTTAAAGCTGATCGTTTTGTGTTCATTTTGTTTAGTTCTTTTTTCGTAACAGATTTAATGTTTAGTATAGAGCTTAGAAGAAAAAAGTAAGGCATGTAGCAACATCAGCACGGCAAAGGGCACTCGTTTAAAGGCAAGGAAGGGCAAAAATATTTTAAGTCAAGTGATAGCGATTGCTGTATGAGTCGTACGATTTTTGAATCAAGCACGGGCAACGCCGGGCCATGCTGCTAGTTTATTATTATAAATGGCCACCCTTGGCTTTCACCTTTAATCTACT